GGGCATGGAGCAGAGGCTCCACCCCTAGCGGCTCTACTCCCCACCCCCTCCTTCCCTACTATGTCCACATCAGCCCACCAGTGCCCTCCCCCGACCCACGACCACACCAGCTTCCCTCACCCCCTCCGTGCCAGCCAGCAGCCCCTCACCAGCCCCCTCCCGCAGCACCAGGCTGCCCGCCCCCTCCAGCCACTGGTAGCAGGGGAAGCGGAGCGGGGCGCCCCGCGGCGGCGCGAGCTGGAACCAGCGGCAGAACCAGGCATCCGGGGCCAGCGGCCCGAGCGGGCGGGGCAGCGCCGGGGGCGCCTTGTGCACGCGCAGCAGCAGCAGCCGGCCCCCGTCCTGGGGGAGCGTCACATCGAAGTCCTCCTCCTAGGGGCAGTGGGCAGAGGGAGAAGACTCATAGGGGTGGAGGGGGCAGCAAGGAGGGGGCCAGGCCCAGCGGTGTGGGCACTCACCGCGCCCGGCTGAAGTTCTTCCTGAAGTTGTCCCGCTGCAGGTCCCTCAAAGCTCACTGACACGTTGTCCCAGGTCCTCGAGCCCAGGACGGAGCTGGTGGCTACGCGCACCCGGCACTCGCCCATGGCCTTTGGTCGAGGGCGTCTGGCAGTGCCGCAGAAGCAGAGGCAGGGGCGGGCTGGCTGGGGGCTTGCGGCTCAGCTGCGAGGGGGACCGAGAGTGGCTGGAACGGCGGCAGGAGGTGCTGGGAGACCTGTGTGCGCCTGGCTCGGGAGCCCTCGAGAGGACAGGTGCCTCTACCCAGAGGCGCCCGGCCCAGCATCCCTCCTTCCAGAGGGCGGAGCGCAGGGGAGACTGGGAGAGGTTTCGACCTGACAGACCTGGTGGATCCGCAGCCCTCGCCTCCACCCCGCAGTCGAACTTTAGCTCCTTTGGCTGTAGGCTTTGCGGTCGGTGCTTGCCTCCACCTCTCCGGATCTTAGGGCTCTGGGTCTCCTCTTGGCTCTGGGAAACACCCTGTCCCCTCCTCCAGATGGCTCGTGTTGGCTCCCCACGAAGAGCACCGGGCGCCTCCTCTGCGTCTCCACCTTGTCCACTCCCTGCCCTGGAGGGCTTGTCCTGTAAATCAGTTCGAGTAGTGGACACTGAGTCACCCCGTGTCTTCCCACTGCTAGCATGCCCCTCTCCATTTCTGCGATTCCTGTCTCGGTCCCAGGCCTCAGCGTTTTCTCAGGTGGGTGGGGGTGAGGGTGGGGATGGGGGAGTCTGCTTCCCATCCTTCATCGGTAGTGAGCTAAGGCATGTGGGAAGTCCGTATGGATGGGGTGGGGCACAAAGATCCCCAGGAGGCTGGAAGAGGACCCAGCACTGAGGAAAGAAGGGACTGGGGCTCTAGGCACCAGTCTGGGTTGGCATATGGGCCCCTCCCTTCAGCCTGTCAAAGTATAATTTTCAAAATAATTAAAAACATGACTCTTGCAAATTAGAATGAACAAAAGTCAAAGGTTTTATTTTATTCAGTCAGAAAGTGAGGTTGATTCCAAGAACAATTGAGAAGCTGAGTCTTTATAAAGGCAATTTAATAAAAGCATGCTAGGATATGATTACTGGGTTAGATATGAAACTAGTCAATGTGCTACAGGGCAATAAACTACAATCTTTGGGATTATCTTTTTTTAATGAACAGAAATAATTTGCATCGCTCTTAAATTTTGATTGAGGCTTCCAAAGAGTTTTCCTCCAAAGCTACACTGTTACGTTGTTATACCAGGGCCCAGTTGCTTCAGACCCTTGGCAACTCTGAATACACTTCCCTAATGAGTAGGAAGATTAAAAATCTTTTCACCTGTTTATTACACATTTAGGTTTATTTTATGAACTGCTTTTGTGAATTTCCTATTATATTCTTTGCCCCTTTCCTGCTGGGTTATTCATTTGTAGAAGTTCTTTGTATATTTTGGATATTTAGCATTTATTGCAAATAGTCTTTCCTGTTGGTTGTTGTTTGCCTTTAATTTTTATGTCCCACAACCCTGGAAACCTTCTATGCTATCTCTTCAAACCTTCAGCAGCAGGAGTTCATTGTCCCTGATCTGTGCTGTCTTAGAATCTTACATCTCTGTTTCTATTTCTTTCTTTTCTTTTTTTTTTTTTTTTTTTGAGCTAGGGTCTTTCTCTATCACCTAAGATAGAGTGGTGTCATCACCTCCAGAGCAGCTGGGACTACAGGCACGTGCCACCATGCCCAGCTAATTTTAAAATATTTTTGTAGAAATGGGGGGTCTTAATATGTTGCCCAGGCTGGTCTCAAACTCCTGGCCTCAAGCAATCCTCCTGCCTCAGCCTCCCAAAGTACTGGGATCACACACATAAACCACCACGCCTAGCCAGCTTCTATTCCTTTTGCTACTTCATATCCACACACTTTTCCTCCTCCACCCAGTCCTGGACTATTGGGCAGGGAGTAAGCTGGCTCCTGTCCCACTTCTAGGACTTTCCACTCTCTCCTCCTTTCTCTCTTCCCTTTCCTTGATCCCCTCATTTCCCAACTGCAAGACCTGGGATAGTAGAGGTGGGATCAGAGACTGCGAAGAGGGAGCTGGTCCTCCCTCTCTGGCTGGCTGATCCAACTAGGGTGGGGGTCTCCACAGCATGACTTTGGGGCCTGGATGCTCAATCCCTCATTGTCTGTGAAGAAGTCCCTACCCTAGTGCAAGGGGACCACCAACTAGGAGAGTTAACTGGACATCTCCTAGAGGTGAATATTACCTGTAACAACTTTCTCTTCTCATGGCTGGTCAGTCAAGAGCCAAGGACTAGGGTGTGTGTGTGTGTGTGTGTGTGTGTGTGTGTGTGTGAGAGAGAGAGAGGGAGAGAGAGAGAGAGAGAGGGAGGAGTGGGGCGGGGAGCTCAGAGCGCTTACAAGCTCATAGAGCTCGGGCAGTGGAGGTGGTTAGGTGGTTAGCAAGGGTGGTTAGGGACTGATTGCTGGGAATTTCACTGCTGAGCTGCCTGGGAGTCTCCAGTTTCTCCAGGAGATGATAGTTGATCCCAAAAGACATACACTGAAACCAACACCAGTTTATTGACTGGGGCACAACTGTCCCCCAACTGACTAGTTCATCCACTCTTGCATGCATGCAGCTGTCCATCCATCCATCCAATCATTCTTCCCATCACCCAACATTAAGCAAACACTTGCTGGGTCTCTCTCATGCATCAGTGCAGTGCTGGGTGCCAGGCAGATCAAGTTGAATGTGACCCAGCTCCTGCTTTCAAGTAGCTCATGGTCTAGTTGGGTACACATAGGTAAATGAAAAAGGGCACCACCGGGTTTTAGGAATTATTTGTGTATTAATTCCTCCATTCAACATGAACTTACCAAGCACCTGTAGTGTGCCACACACTGTGGTGGGCAGGTGTGACCCTGTCCTCCTGAGTTTACAGTCCAGTGATAGAAGTCAGGACAGGGCTCGTGTCATCTGGAACATGCCTCCAAGGTAGCTTCACAGCAGGACTCACCAGCTCTTAACTGCCTCATCTTGGAAGGGACAAACATCACTCCTCTCACAGGCCTTTGCCTACAGTTAGTCACATGCCTGGGAAATGCTAGGATGTACACGAGGTATTCGGAGAGCACAGACGCTCCCATAGCAAGTGGTGGTTTCTGCCACTTTAAGTTAAGTCAAACAGACTCTCCCTGATCGAGTTTGAACATGGAAGCAAATCATTCAAGGAAAAAAAAAATGGTAGAAGCTTTATTATTCTCACGGCAGTGCCTGGGGACAGTCCATTTGTTCCTGTGCCCCAGTTTCCTGGAGCTTCCTGGGTTCCTGATCTTTCCTGACACTGCATGGGTTAACTCTTTAATTTCTCCAGGCACTCAGTTTCTTTTCCAAACACTCCTTTATTGCTTAAGTTAGTGGGAATTGTTTTCTATTGATTGAAACCAAAGAAGTTTAACACATACACAGGTCTAAACCACTCTTGGTACACTGAATCTCAATGAGGAACTAGCAGTTCAAGTGCCGCCTGCGAGGCAAGCCTGCCCTTTCTGAAATACTTCCCATTTATTTTAATGGTTGTGTTTATGCAGTGATTGTATCTATATTGCATTTTGTCCACATTGTTTTATAAAAAGTAGTGAAACTGAAAAACCAAAGCACTCAGACCTGCAATATGAGACAGAGATAGAAATCATTAGGTGAATTCAAAAGGACACATTTTTTTTAACTTTAATCGATTCTCACTGAATCTGAACCAGAAAAAAAGAAAAAACAGAAATAAAGAATGTGTACGAAATGTTGGAATTCCATCACTGAAGGTGGACTCTAGCAGGCGAGGTATGATTAGTGATGTGATAATATTTTCTTTTTTTTCCTTGAGATGGTGTCTCACTCTGTCGCCCCAGCTAGAGTGCAGTGGCGTCATCATAGCTCACAGCAACCTCAAACTCCTGGGCTCAAGTGATCCTACTGCCCCAGCCTCCTGAGTAGCTAGGATACAGGCGCGTGCCACTGCACCTGGCTAATTTTTCTATTTTTAGTAGAGATAGGGTCTCTACTAAAAGCTCGAGCTAGTCTTGAACTCCTGAGCTCAAGCAATCCTCCCGCCTTGGCCTCCTGGAGTGCTAGGATCACAGGCCTGAGCCACCATGCCTGGCTGTGATAATCTTTTATAATTCTCTGGAAATAGAACCTACTTTATAATATACAAGTATATTTTGTATATTATACTTCGGGGGAAGCTTTTAAGAAAGCATACGTGGGCACTGCTGGCACTGACCTGGGTCCTCCTCCTCTGTCTGGCTTCCAGTGACCCTTTTCCAGTGTTTTGTTCATTTTAAAGGTGAGACAGTAGGTTATGATCAACCTCTTGGGCAGTTTTTAGGCCAAGCCATTTCTTGCTGGCTGCCCTCGAGTTAGGAGACCGTGAGGCCCAATCAGCAGTGGTCAGGGGCTCTCGGCGGGATTGCAGCTCCCCCCATGGTAATGGAATGAAAAACAAGAGCAACTAGCAAAACCCTTAAGGGGGGCTGTGCAGGCACTTTGAGGCTTGGAGTCTCCAAAAGGCTTGGTGGTACTGTCCTGAGATTCTGTTCTCAGTGGGTTTGTTGTTTCTCTGTTTTGATTTTGTTTTTCTGTTTTTTGTGTGTGCAAGGGGGTGAGGTACATGGGGCCTGGTTGTCCCAGGAGAGGCACATGGAGGCCTGTTTTTCTGGGGGGTCCTTTTCTCTGGGTGCTGGTTAGCCTAGAGAGATGTGGTCAAGGGATGTATGTCACATGGGCCGTGTTCTCCTGGGATTTAGATGGAGATGCTGTTCTCGATGAGGGGAGGGTCCAGGTAGGTGTAGGGCAGCACCAGGCCCTGGTTGCGCTCCCGGATGCCCCTCGAGATCTGGGCCAGGCGGCTCTGGAAGGCAGCGATGCTCCGTCGCGGGGCCTCCTCCGTGAAGTGCTCATCTGGGTAGGTGCCCAGGGGCCTCTGGGGACCAACCACAAAGCTGGGTGAGGGGCTCTCTGAGGTCTTGCATGCCAGATTCCCTGTCCCCATCCTCTGAGTAGCTATGACTTGCCTTAGCCAGCTCCAGCCCCAGCCCCTGCCCTGGGGGACCTGAAACAGCCCCCAACTGGGCCGGCTTCGTGCCCCTCCCCTTAAACAGGTCCTCTCCAAGTGATTATCTGTAGGAAGCTTCTGGGGAATAAAAGCTCAATTCAGAATTTCAAAGGAGCACAGTCACACGTTGCCTTTGTAGCTAAGGGGGACTATCTGCATCATCTCATTTGGCCATTTGACCTTCACTGTGACATGTCCAAGGCTCATGTGTCCCATTGGAAGGTCCAATGAGGTGAAGGGACCCGGGTACTTGATGGCAGGGTCAGGTCTGGGCCAGGAGCGTAAACAACACACCCTCACTTATCCCAGCCAGCCTGCCCTGCATCCCAGCCCCACACTCACTCGGTCTCCAGGCTCCTTGCTTAGCAACCAGAGGGCAATGACAACATCACACGTGGCATTGACTGGTGGGAGTGTGGCTATGAAGCCCTCAGGCCTTGCCTGGCCTTTGGAGGTGGGTGGTGGCAGTTGCATGGTGGGTGGCAAGTTGGGCATCCAAGCACAGGAGTCAAACTGAAGGCCAAGAGGGCAAAATGAGGCCAAGGAGCCAGGCCACCTCTACCCCCCACCCCAGCACTGACCTCTCCTCACCTGCCCTGCACTGACAGCAGAGTGCTTGGCTGAGCAGGTGAATATCACCATAGTGACATACTGCACCAGGGCTTCCCGGGTCTCCAGTGAAGAGGGCATACCTGTGGGGAGAGCTGGGCTGGGGACAGGACTACCAGGGACCCGAGGACCAGGCTGCAGAGGCCTGAAGGTGGACCCCAAGGGCTGAGGTTCCCCTACCTGAGCTCTCCCGGCTTAGGAAGCCCTCAGAGAAGATCTCCCTCACCCAGGCCTGGAGCTCTCTGTCATCTCGGACAGACACGTCACTCGGGTAGTAGATGCCAATCATTTCAGAGACAAAGCTGCAAGGTGCACCCAGGTTCAGTCCCAGCTCTCTGAGGAGTGCCCCTGCCCAGGGCCGTGAACATCCGGCCCTCCTCATTGTCGTGAGCCTCCCTGGATCCTCCACTCCTTTGCAGGCTTCCTGCATCCCTGACAAGCCCTCGACCCTCTGGGGGATGGCCCCCTCACCGCTCCACTGCACCCCAGATCTGCATCCCGTCATCCCGGTAGTAGTAGCCCGGGATGTCTTCAACTCCTCGGGTCCGGATATCCTCGGGCAGACACAGGACAGAATAGTTCAGCTGCTCCATGTTCCTCTGTATCAACTCAGAGAAGCCTCCAATGCCGAGGCCTGTGGACTGGGAGATAGGACTCCTGGGTACTGGAGACCTCACTCCAGAAGCAGGAGGTAGCACTGGTGTTGGGGACCCCAGAGTCTTCAAATTGAAGGAATGGCCCACCCACAGCCTCCCCACGGTAGCTCTTACCCTGTCCACCACCTGCCCAGGTGAGATGAGCAGCTCTCGCGCGAGCGTGTTGATGTGCAGGGTGTACCGTGTGTGCGGGACCAGCAGCTGTGTGGGGCAGGAATGGCAGAGCTGGGGGGGCGGGCTTGGGTCTTTCTGGCCCCAGACCTTCCCCCAGAGGCACCAGCCTGTAAGTCACTAGAGAAAAGACAACAGGGACAAGAGGGGCAGCCTGGGACAGGGGCAGCACTCCAGGGGCTGGGCTCCACCAACATCTTGTTCTGTGACCCCAGGCATGCAGCTTTCTCTCTCTGGGCAGCAGGTCATTTTGTCAAATGAAGGAGCTGATTGGGGTAAGCACTGAGAGGCTCTGGCATCCTCTGATTTCCTAACCCTTGGGAAAGCACCACGGAAACCAGGGCCCACGGGCCTGGCAATGTGGAACCATCCCCAGAGCCCATCTCTGGGTGCCGGGCCCTGGGAGCTGCAGAGGGTTGGAAAGAATCAGCCGGGATTGGAGAGCACAGAGTAGGGCCTGAGTCCGGGACCAGGAGACGGTCTAAGCAAGAGTCAGAGATTCTGAGCAGCCCCAGGAGGGGAGACCCTGTCCTTCACAGAGCAGATGCCTCAGGTCTCTGGGGAGACATGAATCTGCACCATCTGAAGGCTTAGCAGGGCCATGGGACCTACAAAGCCCATCCCAGAGCACGTGGGTCCCCTCCCAGGGATCCCCCCCAGGGCTTCCCCACCCCTGGAACTCTGTGCAGAAAACCTGTTGGTCCCTCAAAGCCATGTTCACACTTTGACATCTGCCAGCTTCAGGTCTCTCCTGTCCTAGGATTTGGGGTTCTAAGATGGCTGTTCATCCTGTCTGGCCTCCCTTAAGAAGGTGCTCTCTGGGCATGGCATGTGCCTCTGGGCCTGTCGGAAAGCGGGCTCCCACGGGAGTTGCGCAGGGAGACGCTGCTGAAGCGGATGGGGGCTCTGCCTCCCAGCCGGGAAGGCTGCTTAGAACAGGCACCGAGGGGCAGGCCAAGGTGCAGGGACCTGGAGGCACAGTCTGGGCCACCTTGCCAAGCCACTGACCTTGAAGAGCGGGTGGCAGTGGGGCAGCTGGCGCAGCATAGCCAGGGAGAAGACCTCGGGCAGCAGGTGCGAGTGCAGCAGGTGCGTGAGGGCCTCGTGGAAGGAGAACTCGGCGTTGCGCACCCAGGTCTTGGCCAGCAGCCAGTCCCACTTGTCGTCGCTGGGCAGGAAGATGGGGCTGTTGGGCCCAGGGGTCTGGCTGAGCTGGGGGGAGGCAGCGGGGGAGATAGGCAGCCATGAGTGTCTGCCGGCCATTCAGTCAGACCCTCCCCCCACCGCCCTGCCTCTCCCCAGCCGCAGACCTGGATGGCGAGGGGCAGCAGGGACCCACACCCTGGGCGCTGGTACAGTAGGGTCATCGGGGCTGCGGAGAACTGAGGCCGCCCATTAACGACATTGGTTTTGATGCCGGACAGGATGCCGTGATCCACCAAGAACAGTGAGCCCCTCTGCGGGAGAAAGAAGGGGAACTGCGGCTGTCAGTTGGCTTTCTAAAGGACAGGGGTGTGGTGGAAGGGAGAGAATTCAGGGTTGGGAGACGAGTGGGCTTGGCACGAAGCACACAGTGGGTTCCTAACAAACGTGGGTGTACCCCACCCTCTCCTCTCTAGTAGGGGATGGGCCTGAAGGCACTGAGATGGTGTGGACCCCTGGGCCCCTCACCTCCAGCTCAGCCTGCAAACTGGTCCCAGGGCCCAGAACTGGGGCCACCATGGCATCAGTGACCGGGAAATTCTTTGGGAGATAACGACAGCGGTGGATCAGGACAGGGTTGAGGCCATTCAGGAACTGGGAGGCAAAGAAAGCGTCTTCCTGCCAGTGCTCAGACACGTACTCTGCAAGGGGTAGGGCATGTGGGGACTGGGTCACCCCAGGTCCTGCAGGTCTCAGCCTGACCTTCCCAGTGGTTTTCTCCTGGGTCCCTCATGGGCACCCTATACCTTTTTCAGGGTGACCTCCCCTGGCCCCTTGGCTTCAGTCACTGCCCTTTCACCAAACAGCACCTCTTAGCCCCCAGCCCACCGTCCCACCATCTACCAGATATCCCCCGTGGATGACTCACTGGCCTCAAATGCGACATGTCAGAGACCAGATGTAGGCTCTTCCTCCCATTTCCTGACCCCCTGGGGAATGGCAACTCCATCCACCCAGCTGCCTGGGGCAGAGCCTGGGGACCTCTCTTGGCAGCTCCCTGCCCCCCCACCAAATCCTACTGTTGCTACACCCTGAGTACCTCCTGGCCCTCTTGTCCGCTCCACTCTATCGGCACTGCCTTGTTGAGGCCGCCATCCTCTGCTGACCACAGCCAGAGGCTCATGGCTGATCCTTCTGCTTCCACTCTCACCCCAACAACCCACCCCGCAGAGCACATCGCCATGTTATTCCCCAGCTGGCAACCAGTCAACAGCCTGGCCCTGCACTGAGGAAAGGCCCAAGTCCTGCCGTGGCCCACACAGTCCTGCACCGTCCGGCCCCGTGCACCTCTCCTACATCCTCCAAAGGCGTCTGATCCTTCTGTCTTCAGGGCCTTCACATTTGCTGTCCCCTGAGCCTGGAACCCTCTCTGCCCCAGCCCCCGTCCTTGGCACTGTTAATGCCTGCTCAACTCTAAGGCTCAGCATTTGCCACCCCCAGACTAGAGCAGGTCTCCTTTTACACATTCACTGGAACCAATGAGCATGTTTCACAAGTGAAACGAATCATTTCAGTCTTGTTAATATCCATGGGCTTGCTCAGCTGTAGGCCCTGTGAGTACAAGAACTGCGTCCACAGCCCCTAACCCGGTGTCTGATGTGTAGTAGCTCAACAAATGTCTGTTGGATTAGAAGGCACTAGAAGGTCAGGGATCCCCTTGGTCAGTATTCTCTTTTGTCTCTGTGGAAGAAGTACGGTGTAGCAAGGGACAGGGCCTGCCCAGGGTCACACAGTGAAGTGGAGCTCAGTTTTTCGAGATTCTTGACGGCCATGGTAGCTGATGCCCCAGGGAAGAGGTCGGGAGCCCTGGCCCAAGCTCCTCACCGGCTGCTGGGGTCGTCCGGAAGTTGAAGATTCTTCTCATCTCCTTCAGACTCCTCCAGAGCCCCTTGCGGTCCAGCAGCCCCTTAATTTTCAGCTCTGTGAACCTGCCAGGGATGTGAGGGGTGGGAAGGGGGCAGGAGACCCTGGGAGACCCTCCCCCGTTAGCCAGCCTTATGCCTCCTGGGATCTTGAACCAGCCTCTGGGACCTGAGGTAGTCACTGCCCCTAAGGTGGCCATTGCGCTGTGGGAATAGGTAGTGAGCAGGAGGCGGTGTCCCAGGTCAGGCTGTGTGACGCATATCACCGAGGGGCGGGGGAAGCAGGGGTCATAGGGCATCTGAGACCCAGGGGCAGGACAGGGCAGGCATCCTCACGCAGAGAGTCCTTGTAGGTAAAAGTTAGTGTTCTTGGCTGTGGAGTATTTGATGTTGAGGTCCAGGTCTTTGACGGTCACCTCATCAAGGCAGTGAGGCCATCCTGGGATGTAAGTCTTCCATCTGGGGGGTGGAGCAGGACGATGGTCAGCAAGAGGCCTCAGGGAGCCCCTTCACTGGGGCAGAGGGAGTGGCGGGCCTTGGGGCCTTGGTAGGCATGTCATGGAGAGGCACTTCAGTGTCCACAAATTAGGGGTGCCACAGCAGTTTACTCTGCCCTGGCCTGAGGCATCTCAAAATCCTATTATCAAACAAGCAACACAGCCCAAGACCTTTGGATGAAATGGTAAAATCATGCCCCTGCAAACTGAAGACCGCGCCCCCCCCCACACCGGTCCTTTCCTCACTCATTCTTTGGTTCATTCAACAATTGCTTTTGGGTTTCAAAGAGCAATTTGCAATTAAAGCACACGGCCACCAGGTGGTGGCCAAACCCTGCTTCTGAGACTTTAATGTGTGTACCAAGAGATCTTGGTAAAATGTGGATTCTGGTTTCTAACAAGCCCCCAGGCGTTGCTGGTGTCGTGGATCTGAGACTTCACTTGAAGTACAGAGGGCCTAGAGAGTTGCAGCAGGGACATCATGGACAACACTAATGGCACCCATTTGTGCGAGGCTGTGCAGTTGACCAGCTGCGTTCATAACCATTTTCTCATTCGTTCTTTCTAATAACCCAAATGAGATTGGTATTCTTAGTTCCTTTTGCAGAAGAAATAAGAATCAAAGAGATTAAATGACTTGCTTAAGATATCACAGCTCTTTTTGGCAGGGCCCTGGGTCTCGATGGCCACAGCAGATCTCAATATCTATTCCCTTTCCTGGAGCTGTTGCTCGCAGATTTGGTGTAATGGTTTTGCTGGGGGTGGAATTCACGACACATGTAGAATCACTAGGAACCAAATGAGCTTGTGGCTGCCGTGTCCCCAGAGACCAAGAGCAAAAGTCTGCAGCCCAGGCTTTAGACAGCAGCCAAACTGCCCAGAGAGATCTTTTGAAAATCTGCGCCTGAGTGAAGTTCCCAGCTTTGTGCCAAGGGAACCCTTCTGGCGGCCCCAGATCCTTCACAGCCTCCACCCTCTGCCACGGTGGCCTCCAAGGCCCAGCTCTCCCCTGTGACCTCCAATGCTGAGCCCAGAGCAGAGAAAGAGCCCCCGCCTCACCCCCTTGCCCGCCCTGGAGACCGAGTTTCCTGGCGCTCGAGTGGCGGTATTTCTGATTCTCCCCATATTTCCTAGAAGATACAACAATGATGTGGGAAAAAGTCCCACGGCAAGGAAGACACCAGCAAGGTTAAGGCATTTAGAGCAGCAGTTTTCCAACTTTAGTGGGCACCAGAGCCATCTGGAAGACTTGTTAAAACAAAAAGTGTTGCTCCCCACCCTTGATGTCTGATTTAGTAGGTCTGAGGGGGTCTGAGAATTTGCATCTCTAACAAGTTCCTGGGTGATGCAGATGCAGCTGGTCCCAGGAGGACTCTTTGCTAAGAGAGGTGGCGGCAGGAGCTTTAGTCTGTGCCATGGCCAGCAGCACCCAAGCTGCTCCTCCTCCCTTGGTCGGCCCCTCCCCGCCATAGTAGCCCCCTCCTTACTGGTACATCTCCTGCCGGGCTTGCAGCTCCTCCTGGCGCTGTTGTTGGAGCACGGGGTGGTGGTCTGCCCAGGAGACCTTGGCTGTGGGAGGAGGGGAATAGGTGGGGAGAAGACCCCCCACCTCTGGCCGCAGCCACTCTCCCCTCCACTACTGCCATCCCCTATCATTTCCTCCCCTCAAAAGTACAGTTTCTCCCACATCAGGCTGCCACCTTCTCCTCCCCAAGGCCCCACTAGCCCCCTTCCTCTGCCCCCTGCCCGGTGGCCACACCGGCTCACCTCTCCACTCCACTTGCCCATCCCCCCAACACAGACCCCTGCCGCCTCCCGTGCCCCGCGTGCAGCCCCAGCCCGGCCGCTGCCCCTCACCTGCCCCCTCCCGCAGCACCAGGCTGCCCGCCCCCTCCAGCCACTGGTAGCAGGGGAAGCGGAGCGGGGCGCCCCGCGGCGGTGCGAGCTGGAACCAGCGGCAGAACCAGGCGTCCGGGGCCAGCGGCCCGAGCGGGCGGGGCAGCGCCGGGGGCGCCTTGTGCACGCGCAGCAGCAGCACCGGGCCCACGTCCTGGGGGAGCGTCACCTCGAAGTCCTCCTCCTAGTGGGAGCGGGGCGGGGGGGACGTTCAGGACGCTGGTGGCCGGTGCCTCCTGCTGCCCCCTCCCCACACACCTCTCCCTCCCTGCGCTCTCCCCCACGCACTCACAGCGCCCGCAGTGAACTCCTTGCCGAAATGGTCCAGGGGCAGCGCGGGGCTCTCTCCTCGGGTCCCCACGATGGTGACAGACACTTTGTCCCACGTACCAGCCCCGCAGGCCCCCCCAGTGGACACCCTCACCCTGAACTCGGCCATGCTGCCAGCCTGAGTCTGGCTGTCTACTGCGGGCCCGGGCCCGACTGCGGAGCAGGCAGCTCACCTTCGCGACACGCCCGCCCCGCCCTGGCCCGCCCGCGACGGTGGTTGGAGCCCTATCGCCGCCCCCTGATTCAGGGCAGGGAGGGGCGGGCCAAGGGACTGGAACATGGAACTGATGGCTGCGGAAGGGGTGGGGGGTGTTGCCAACACTGGGACAGGGAGAGACTGGGAGTCCTGATGTTTGGGGAACAGGACCTTTGAGTGATGGTGTCAGGCCAGAGAGCCAGAGTTGGGACCCAGCTGGGTTTGGGGGTACATTTGCACCCCTCCTTGTTTGTTTGTTTGTTTGCCTTTTAAGCCTTAGAAGCCTATGCAGAACCACCTCCCCTTTTTCCACAACTCTTCTTGGACTACATCCATTATTTTCTTTCTCCTTCTTTCTTCTTTCTTTCTTTCTCTTTCTTTCTTTCTTTCCTTTCTTTCCTTCTTTCTTTCTTTCTTTCTTTCTTTCTTTCTTTCTTTCTTTCTTTCTTTCTTTTCTTTCTTTCTTTCTTCTTTCCTTTTTTTTTTCAGAGTGTCATTCTGTCGCCCAGGCTAGAGTCTAGTGGCATCATCATAGCTCACAGCAACCTCAAACTCCTGGGCTCAAGCAATCCTCCTGCCTCAGCCTCCTAAGTAGCTAGGACTACAGGTGTGAGCCATCACTCCCTGCTAATTTTTTGCTTCTCTTTTTAGTTGCCGGCTAATTTTTTTCTATTTTTAGAAATAGCCTCTTGCTCAGGCTGGTCTCAAACACCTGAGCTCAAGTGATCCTCCCACCTCTGCCTCCCAGAGTGCTAGGATTACAGGGGTGAGCCACTGTGCCTATCCTATTTTATTTCTTTCAACTAATTTTCAGAACGAACTCTGTGCCAGGCACTATGTTAGATGCTGTGGATACATGCCCAGGAAAGACCCAGTCTTTGCCCTCGTGGAGATTAAAAAAATCAAATGTGAGAGAAAATAAACAAGTAAACAGCACATAATATAATTCTGGATGATGGCGAGTGCTATAAAGGAAATAAAACAGGCCGATGTGAGGGAGTGAGAAGTAGAGGTGGGGAGGAAGGCCCCAAGAGGCTCAGAGCAGGTGACATGTGCCCTGAGATTTGAGAAAGGGTTCATGTGGGGAAGAGAGTTTTGTGCAGAGGGAACGGTCCCTGCAAAGGCCCTGAAGTTAGGGAGAGCTTCCTTATCTTGTTAGAGGAGGGAAAGGCAGGAGTGAGGGAGGGAGGGAGAGAGAGTTGTCAAGGGGAGGTTATGGATTTTAGATTTAGGGGAATAACAGATTTGAGTTTTCCAGTCAGGAAATGCTAAGTTTGAGGTGCCCATTTGACATCCAGGTGGAGAAACTACATGTAGGCATAGAGCTCAGAGATGGAGGGTGTGCACCTGGGAGCCACCAGCACACAGATGTGTCTAGGCCACAGGGTGGTGGCAATCACTAAGTGAGAACATGCTGTAGGTGGACAAGAGAAGAGGGAGCAAGCTGTGTCCTGAGGTCCTGTGATATTTGGAAGTCATGCAAAGGAGATAGAAGCAGTAAAGATCAGTCAGTGAGGCAGGAGAACCAGGAGAGGGTGTTTCATGAAAGCCAAGAAGACATTGGCCACTTGTGTTACCTGTTGCTAAGAGGCTGGACAAGAGGGAGACAGAGAAATCACTGAATCCACCAATAAGGAGATCTTTGAGTTTGTGCTGCCAACTGATGAGCATGACCAACTCACTTCTGTGTAACCGCACGCAGCAGGATGCCACTGTTGCTCTGGCGACCTGCCCAGAACAGTTTCAGTGGTGCGATAGGCGGGTGGAAACCAGATTGCAGTGGATTGGAGAATGCCTGGGGACAGAATTCCAGCTAAACATGCACGGACGCCTTCCCCTCTGTCCTCCTGAAGCCTCACTAAAATACCAGTCTTAAAGCATAAACCTACAAGGACAAGAAAATGTGTATGGAGATGACAGCAACTGATTTAACAAGACAGGAGAAAGCTGAAAGCCCAGAAGTAGGTCAATTCCCACCTCAAAACACCCAAAAGTCACAGGAATTGGGAGACAGACACTTCTGAGAGTGCGGCACTGTTGGCACTGAAAACAGGATGCCATCTGACGAAAGTTTTTGTTTGGTGCAGTTAGGCATCCCTCCACCTCCGTACACTTCTGCACCTCGCACAACCAGCGGGAGAGGATCCCTCCCCAGCCTCACAGATAGCGTGGGATTTATTTTCTAGAGAAATTGAACTAGAGGGAGTCTAGACCTGGGGACACTAGCTAGAACTGAGGATGGACACCACACTTAAAACAGGAGGATCGGGTGAAAGTGCATATTGAACAGTGGGATGTGCTCACTTCGGCAGCACATATACTAAAAATTGGAACAGTGGGCGTCCCAACTGCCCCCCTTGTATGGCTCCAGATATGATGGCAGCCGCATGTGTACCACCCCACCCCCATGCAAAACTTAGGAATTTCTCTCTAGAGGGACTTACCAGCCCAAGTGTCATTTGGGGATCCCCCAGTGAAGTGGCCCTGCCAAACTAAGCCCACCATTTGCAAGCCCTGCTCACATGGTTTCCATTCAGCTTTTTCTTGTCCCACTTTTTTTTTTTTTGAGTCAGAGTCTTGTTCTGTCACCCCAGGTAGAGTGCAGTGGCATCATCGTAGCTCACTGCAGTCTCAAACTCCTAACCTCAAGCAATCCTCCCGCCTCTGCTTCCCAGAGTGCTAGGATTACCAGCATGAGCCACCTCGCCTAGCACCTCGTTCTTAAAGATGTGTGGATGGCATCTTCAGGGATGCCTGGATCTTCAAGGAAGGCTTCTACCGAAAGGACAAAGATCAAACAAACAAACTTGATGGAAACAGACAATGCAGGGAACAGAAGAAAACTTTAAAGAAGCTGTCATTTATATCCTCAGAGAGAGGAGAGCATATGGCTATTGAAAATATTGTTTCTGGGTAAAAAGTTTGGATTTTGTAAACCATTCAATTTTTTTTTTAAATTGTGGTAGAGCTACATAACATAAAATTGACCATCTTGACCATTTTCAAGTGTACAATTCAATGGCATTAAATACATTCTCATTATCATGCAACCATCACTACCATCCACCTGAAGAACTTTTTTATCATCCCAAACTGAGATTCTGTGCCCATTAAGCAGTAACCACTCATTTCCCCTTTCCCAGTGCCTGGTAACCCATTCTACTTTCTGTCCCTATGAATTTGACCATACTAGTGAAATCATACAATATTTGTTCTTTTGTGTTTGGTTCATTTCACTTAGCTTAATATTTTCAAGGTTCATTAATGTTGTAGCATGTGTCTGAATTTCCTTCCTTTTTAAGGCTAATAATATTCCATTGTGTGGATATACCACATTTTGCATATATACTCATCTGTCACGGGACCTTTGGAGTTGCTTCCACCTTTTGGCTATTGTGAATAATGCTGCTATGAACATAGGTGTACAAATATCTGTCCGGTCCCTAATTTCAATTCTTTGAGGTATATATCTAGCGGTAGAATTGCTAGATCATATGACAACTGTATGCTTCATTTTTTGAGGAACCGCCATACTGTCTTCCACAATGGCTGCACCAGTTTACATTCCTACCCAGCAATACAGGAGCATTCTAATTTGTCCATATCCTCACCTACACTTGTTATTTTTTTGTTTATTTGATAATAGCCATTCTAGCGGGCACGAAGTGGTATCTCATTGTAGTCTGGATCTGCATTTCCCTAATGGTTGCTAGTGTTGAGCATCTTTTCACGTGCTTGTTGGCCATTTGTATATCATCTTTGGAGCAATGGCTGTTAATGTCCTTTGCCCAAACCATCCATTCTTTTTTTTTTTTTTTTGAGACAGAGTCTCACTCTGTTGTCTGGGCTAGAGTGCCGTGGCGTCAGCCTAGCTCACAGCAACCTCAAACTCCTAGGCTCAAGCGATCCTACTGCCTCAGCCTCCCAAGTAGCTGGGACTACAGGCATGCACCACCATGCCCGGCTAATATTTTTTATATATTTTTAGTTGTCCAAATAATTTCTTTCTATTTTTAGTAGAGATGGGGTCTCGCTCTTGCTCAGGCTGGTCTCAAACTCCTGACCTTGAGCGATCCACCTGCCTCAGCCTCCCAGAATGCTAGGATAACAGGCGTGAGCCACCACGCCCGGCCCATCCATTCTTAATTATTATCCATTGCCAGGTCAAATTTTAGATTTATGATGTGAATTATATGCACATTTCCAAACATGTTAAATATGTTCTATTTATAGGTCACTTTCATAATACAAACGAATATTACACAAATCCATGTGTCCAAAAGCAGTGAGTCTAGGAAAAGATAGACATGCTTTATTGCTTCCCCATCCCAAAATACAACCTTGGCTTCTCTTTCCCTACTATTTTTCTCTTTATTTTCACTTTTATACATTTAAATGAATCTATTTTAAAGGAAACTTTGTATCACTACTGTAAATTGAAAATCAATTTCACTTCCCATAATAGAAGGTAACAATAAAGTGAATGTAATGAAAACCAGTGTTTGGTTCAATTTTAGATAGTTTCTGTTGCCTGCAGCCTGCTCCTTGTTGCAGAGGAAGGTTATCAAGTATTACAGGGGTGCCAGAAACATATCAACACCAAACTGACAATTTCTCCCTGAGAAAGAGAATTGATTTGTGATTCTATGTTAATCAAACCTGTGACCCCGCACCTCCAAGGGTTTGTCCTAGAGCAGGATTCCTCAAGGTGTGGCAAGCAGACCACTGGCATCAGACCTACTTGGATGCTTGTTAAAAATGCCAGTTGCTTGGCCGGGTGCGGTGGCTCACACCTGTAATCCTAGCACTCTGGGAGGCTGAGGCAGTAGGATCATTTGAACTCAGGAGTTCGAGACCACCCTGAGCAAGAATGAGACACCATCTCTACTAAAAATAGAAAAAATTAGCCGGGTGTGGTGGCACACACCTGTAGCTACTCAGGAGGCTGAGACAGGAGGATTGCTTGAGTCCAGGAGTTTGAGGTTGCTGAC